CCAGGGGCGGCTGCTCCAGGGGCCAGGGGCGGCTGCTCCAGGGGCGGCGTCGCTGGTGCAGGGCAGGCCCGCGCGCTGCTGCAAAGCAGGCGCGGGCGCAGGGGAGGCAGAGGCGGCGGCCAGGGGGGGGGGGGTGCGCCGCGACGAGCAGGGACAGCGCCCAGGGGGCGCCGCGACGAGCAGGGGCGGCGCCTCAGGGGCGCCACGACGAGCAGGGGCGATGCCGCGCGGGTCCCGCAGGGGCGTCGCGACGAGCAGGGCAACGCCGCGCGGGTCCCGCGGGGGCGTCGCGACGAGCAGGAGCGGCGACGCACGGGTCCCGCAGGGGCGTCGCGACGAGCAGGAGCGGCGCCTCGCAGGGCGCCGCGAAGGGCAGGGTACGCGCGGGCAGAACAGGTCCGCGCGCGGACGTGGGGCAGGCGCGCAGGCGGCGTGAAAGCAGGCCGCGAGCGGGGCAGGAAGACGCCGCGCGCCCGGGGCGCACGGCGGGCAGAAAACCGCCGTGCGCCCCGAGCACACGGCGGGCAGAAAATCGCCGTGCGCACGCCGCGCACCCGAGGCGCGCGGCAGGATGACAGGCAGCGGAAGCACACTGGTGGGCCCATCAAGGAAGGCAGCAGGAAGGTGCCTGCTCTGAATACCATGTTAAGATACTAAGTGCAGCTAGGCTTAGGAGCCATGGCTATGGTAGCTTAGTAGCTTAGGTTTTGGGTTCAAGAGGAATGTCGAGAGGGTTGCAAAGGAGAAAAGTGTTCAATAAAGAGAGAAGGTACAAGGATATAGGCAAAGCAAGCACGGTGCACCACCAAACAATGTAACACTACACTAACTATCGCTACAAGCAGTTTATATAAGAAATATATTTCAACAACTGCCACCTCAGCGAGCACACGACCATCGAATAGAATTAGAACCGGGGGCACAGCCAACAGTACAGTGACAGTTCAGACTGACACAGCCCGAGCTCGATGAAATGAGGAAGCAGTTAAATTACCTGTTAGACAAAAAAATTTCATCCGACCGAGCTCGTCACTGTTCGCCGCACCGATACTGTTCACACCAAAAAAAGACGGAGGGTTTTGCATGTGTATCGACTACAGAGCACTGAACAGGGTAGCAGTCAAATCGCGATACCCCATTCCCCGCACCAACAAACTAATTTACCAACTACGAACAGCACGGGTCTTTTTGAAAATAGATTTTACGGGGCGGTTACCACCAGATTCGAGTCGAACCATCAGACTGCGCCAAGACAGAATTTAGAACTAGGTACGGGTCCTTCGAGTACACCGTGATGCCATTCAGGCTGACCAACGCACCGGCGACTTTTTAGATGACCATGAACGAGGCGTTTAGGCCGCTCTTAGATAAATGCGTGATATTTTACCTCGACAAACTCCTCGTCTACAATCGTGATAAGCAGCAACTTACCAGATCTGTAAGCAGTGTTCACATTCTTAGACGACCACAGACTACAGACCAAGGGTTCTAATTGTGAGTTCTTCCACGATATGTTAGAATTTTTTGGGCACGTTACTTCAGAGGGTGAAGTTGAGATGGACCCAAACAAGCTGGACACGGTAAAAGCGTGGCACCCTCCGACGAACATCACGGAGCTGCAGAGTTTTTTGGGTTTGTTAATTGTGTGCATCTGTTCGTCCCCGACATGACACGGTTAACTGCCCCACTGACGGATTTACTGCGGAAGGAGGTCGCTTTTACGTGGGGGGAGACAGAGCATGCTGCCTTCTCTTCCCTGAAAAATGTTCACTGTTCACCGCCCGTACTGCGCATCGCCGACCCCATTCAAAATGGTTGCAGACGCAAGCGACATCGCCATCGGAGCCGTACTATTATAGGATTTCGGCAACGGCTTACAGCCCATCGCATACGAATCACGAAAACTACATCCGCCCGAGAAGAATTACCCGATACACGACCGCAAAATGCTCGCGATCGTGCACGCATTCAAAGTCTGGCGCTGCTACTTGACCAGCGCAGACGTGATAGCACGGATAGACCACAAGTCACTACAGTACCTCCGCGCACAGCCCCACCTCAACCCACATCAGATTCGTTGGCTCGATTTCATCAAGTCAAATTTTCATTACACGGTCACCTACAAAAAGGGGGCATCCCACATCGCCAATGCAGTGACACACCCCACTACCCAAATTTACGCCATTCTACTCGCCCAAACCAGCCCACTACTTACATGACTATTTACCCACTGTTAGCAGACAGACCCTTTCTTCACCGGAGGCAACTCGCAACAGTTTGTAGCAGCAAAAGAGATTTATTACATAAAAGCCGGCACCGACCGCATCTGGGTACCGGGCTACACTTTACTAAGGGAATTGTTACTACAGGAGGCAAACGACGGGGTTACCTGACGACATTTCGGAGTAGAGAAAACACGGCAACAGCTGCAGCGGTATTACTACTGGCCCGAGATGCTGACCGGCTTGCAGCGATAAGTGGCATCGTGTCCCACTTGCCAACTTATGAAATCATCACGGAAGCGGCCGGCAGGACAGTTGCAGCTGATACCACCCCTAGAGCGTGCTTGGCAGCAGGTGACAATGGACTTCGTCACGAGGTTACTGGCAGGAGCAAGTGGGAATGACGGGATCCTGGTCATCGTCGATTGGCTGACAAAAATGGCACATTTCACAGCCTACAAGATAACAATCACAGCCGAATAAACAGCCGGCCTCTTTATCTCCGCCGTCGTTCGACTGCACGGGATACCAGCATCGATCATCAGCGACCGCGGCACGAAATTCACCAGCAACTTCTGGCGGAACCTGTGGCAGCAATTCGGCAGACGACTACAGTTCAGTTCTTCGTACCACCCCGAGACCGACGAACAGACGGAACGACAAATCAGACCATGGAACAGCTCATCCGAGCCACGTGCGACAACCTAACCACGTGGAAACAACAACTGCCACTCATCGAATTCGCATACGACAACTCGCCATCCACCACGACCTAACAGTCACCAACTTACCTGAACTACGGACAAGACCCTACAGTACCCTTGACCCCGAATCCTGACAACCCGGTACCACATGTGCAACAGTTCGCATAAATCTTGCAAGCAGCACGGACCCGAGCTGGAGATGAGATAAAAAAAAATCAAACATCATCGCTAACTGCAACGCCGACCGCCACCGCCGACCTGTCACTTACCAGCCGGACGACCTCGTTTTACTTGACACCCAGAACATCCGCCTGCCTATTACCCCAAAACTCCGCCCCCGATATTGCGGGCCATTTCGCATGAGCCGCATGATGACTCCCCTCCACCGCCCGTCTGCCCCTCGTTCCACATCAGCCTCCTCCGCTCATACCCTTCCACTAGCCAACTGCCTCGCAACTGCCCAAACAGCATGACACGGCCGCCAACGGAGCCAATCATCACGCCAAAAAAAATACTGAGCCACCGAGTTCGTGACCCACTTGGAGCCCGCAAAATCGAATTTCTGATTCGCTGGAAAGACCACACGCCCACCGAAGACAACTGGGTTCCCTTGGACAGAATCGAAAACCACCCTGTCCTCACCGAGTGCCTGCGCGGCCAAAATTTCGGGGATGTAGACGCGCTTTCGTAAGAAGGGGATTCTTAGGGGGGTGGGGGGGTAACGTAAGGAAAATTTCTTTTCATCACTTCGCGTCCCTGCTCAGCGCGTACACCACTGTTCCCGCCAACAGCACCCAACAGCGTTACCACTCGCGACACTCGCCTCGACTACTGTCCCCGCCACTGCTCACGACGCGACCCAACCTCACGGCTCGGTTGGTAACCCGCGCTCCGGACCTCCGCCTCGACAATTCCCAACCTCGGCACTAGGCCCGTCGCACACCCCATTTTCACACATTACCGTTACCACTGTAGTTTCACTTTATATTCTTCGCTCATGCCTTCGCTTATTGTACTGTTTTGCTTAGATAGTGAAAGTCTCGCTCGCTCACTCAATTGCACTCATAACAATACTACACAGTTGTTGGGCTATCGGGTAGTTGGTTATATAGATTAAAGCTCGCGTCTCATATTTCTGTGTCCCAACCAAGTGTTAAACGCTTGGTATCCGGTAACCCTCAAACTGTCGCACAACTCCACTGAAGGTTGGCCCAGGTTGAAACGATTGGTTGGGAACCTACAAACTTGCTTGGCGGTATGCGCAGGGACGTGCCAAACCAATCATGCGATCGTGCACCCAGGTAGGTTTGGAAAACACACCTGCACGGGGACAACACGATCGCCCAAACTCCCCCACCGGCGACCAGGTTGTCGCACGAATCAAGCATTTACAACAGCTGAAAAATATGAGACTGACAGAACTCAGAAACCCGATTTCGCACTAGCACTAGGCTCAGGTTCAAGAGTAAAACTCTTTCCACTAGCAACCGCGGTTACCTCTTACACAAAATTTAGATTCTCGTTGATCAGCATATACGGCCGACCTATAAACTTGAAATTAGGTCTTCATTTATCAGTATCAGCGGCGACCAGGGTACATCCCGTGCTTATCGTGAACCATGTCCAGGTAATGAGGCGCGCCAGGTAAGGGACGCGATGGGGCAGGACGGGACAGTACGGGAAGCGACGGGACTGGACAGGACTGGACGGGAAGGGACTAGAGGGACGGGACGGGACGGCACAGGAAGGTAAGAATCTCGACGAGGGGCCGGGAGGGGACGTGACGGGAAGGCGGGATGCGACGAGACCGGACGCAAATGGAAGGGAGGGAAGAGGAGCACGCGGAAGGGGCGGGATGCGACGGTACGGGGCGGAAACGGGAGGGACGGGAGGGGACGCGACGAGGGGGCGTGCATGCAGGGGGTCATGCATGAATGCAGGTCCTTGGCGTAGCAGGGTGAAGAGCACATCGTGTAATACAGCACAGCACAAGAACAGCGCACAGTGCAGCAGCGCCTGGACGAGTGGGGCGATTGCGAGCGCAAGTGCAGCCAGTGGCGCGAAGCCGCCAAACATGTCCCAAAACTCGGTCGTCCAGCTTGCCGTCGACTGGTTGCAGGGGGGATGGGGGCCGAGCGGGGGAGTGGGAGAGGGAGCGAAGCAGGAGCAAGTAGGGAGCGGAGGAGCGGAGAAAGGAGGGGAAGGGCGGGAGAGAGGCGGCGGAAGAGGGAGAGAAAGGAGCGGGAGGAGAGCGGGGGAGAGGCGGGTTGGAGTGGAGGCGGGGAGAAGGAGCAGGGGGGGGAGGGGAGGGGGTAGGTGGGATGTGGAGGGGAGGAAATGGGAGGGGAGGTGAGTGGAGACAGGAAATGCGCTCCTGCTTGCCGGCGTTCATCCTCCCTATCTCCGTTCTCTCCTCCCCAACCCCTTTTCCTTTCCCCCACCCCCCTTGCCTTTCCACTCATTCTCCCTGCCGCCCTGATTAGGTGCGAACGACGGGTTGCGATAAATCCCGTCATTCCCCCTTCTGCTCCCCATCAATTCCCGCTCTGCTTTTCCATCAATTTCCCCTCTGCTCTCTATTTCCCCCCCTGCTTCTCCTCCGTTCCCCCCCTGCTTCCCCCCATCCCCTTCCCTGCTTCCCCCCATCCCCTTACCTGCTTCCCCCCATCCCCTTCCCTGCTTCCCCCCATCCCCTTACCTGCTTCCCCCCATCCCCTTCCCTGCTTCCCCCCATCCCCTTCCCTGCTCCCCCCCATCCCCTTCCCTGCTTCCCCCCATCCCCTTTCCTGCTTCCCCCCATCCCCTTTCCTTCTTCCCCCCATCCCCTTTCCTGCTTCCCCCCATCCCCTTTCCTGCTTCCCCCCATCCCCTCAGCCCTCCTTCCCCCCACCCTCTGCCCTGTTCCACCCTGCCCTCCCCATCCCTGCCTTTCCCTCCCTGCCCTGCGCTTCCCTTCCCCATCCCTTCTCAACCCTTCCCTTCCTTTTCATGCCCTTCCCTTCCCCTTCACACCTCACCCGCCCACTACTGTAGTTCCCATGCATGTGCACCCATCACTGTCTCCCCACATGCTTTCATCATGTGCGCTTGCTTGTGTTCCCTTGCAGTTGTTCCTTTGGCACCTCACACCACCTCCCCCATGTTCCTTCACACAATTATTCCTGCCTACTCCACTCCCTGTATTTTCAGTGGTGAAGCAGAGGAGCAAGCTGAGGCGCAGCTAAAGCTAGTCCACGCTCTATACCGTACCACCACCTGTTTTTCTTGTGTGTTGTATGCAAGCATGATACTGTATTAGTGTAGGAGATATCCATATCAAAGGCACAATATGTACTTTTCTTTCTGCAGTGCAAGATATTCTTCCAAGATGTATGGACACTGAGAGTGTCAGAAGGATAGAGGCATGTCCCTAATACTGGCATGTTCCTATACTGGCTTGTAGCTTGTAGCTTTGCGTATGCATTACAGGTTGTATGACACCTGGTGTCGCAATGGTGCCTCAAATCCATGAGAAGGCAGGGAGGTGTGATGGAAAGGCAGGGAGATGGGTAGTAAGTGAGGGGAGATTTGAAGGGACGGAGGGTGAAAAGGGAATACAAGCGAGTAAACATGAGTTAATAAGATGCATGTATGGGGCAAAAGTGATGGCAGCACATGCACATGAACTGGAGGGCAGAAGGCGAGGAGTGACGTAGAAGGGCGGGGTCGAGAAGGGAAGGGCAGGGAGGAAAGGGCAGGGATGGGGATGAAGGGGAGGGGAGGAAGGGGAGGGAATGATGGGGAGAGAAGGGAAGGGGAGGAAGTGGAGGGAAGGAAGGGAAAAGGGGGGAGGGGAGATTGGTTACAGGAAGGAAGGGACGGCGGTGAGGATTGCGAGAGTGAGAATGGCAGGAAGAGTGTGAGAGGGCAGACGGGCCTTGTGATGTGGCCCACAAGAGATGAGAAGGAAAACGAGATGGTGGGAGGCATGAAGGAGATAAGGAGAGAAGCAAGGAAGGCAGGGAGAGGTGGTGGGAGGCATGAAGGAGAGATGGAAAAGGGGAAGCGGGATTGGAAAAAGGGGTGAATGAAAAGTGAGAATTCGGTAAGAAGGTGAGTGACGGGGGAAACAGAGTGGGCAGAGGGGAGAAAGGGTGAGTGTGGGGGAAAGAGAGTGAGCAGAGGGGAAAACGCGTGAGTGAGGGGTGAAAGAGAGTGAGCAGAGGGGAAACGGGTGCATAAAAGGGGGGTAATGAGAGCCTGCAGGGGGGGAAATGAGGGCGTGCAGGGGGGGAAATGAGGGCGTGCAGGGGGGGAAATGAGGGCGTGCAGGGGGGGAAATGAGGGCGTGCAGGGGGGGAAATGAGGGCGTGCAGGGGGGGAAATGAGGGCGTGCAGGGGGGGAAATGAGGGCGTGCAGGGGGAATGCCGCGCGAGGAGGCGAGAGGAGCACGCACGGGGAGGGGAGAGGAGCACGCGCGGGGAGGCGAGAGGAGCACGCACGCGGAGGGGAGAGGAGCACGCACGCGGAGGGGAGAGGAGCACGCACGCGGAGGGGAGAGGAGCACGCGCGGGGAGGGGAGAGGAGCACGCGCGGAGAGACGAGAGGAGCACGCACGGGGAGGGGAGAGGAGCACGCGCGGGGAGGCGAGAGGAGCACGCACGCGGAGGGGAGAGGAGCACGCACGCGGAGGGGAGAGGAGCACGCACGCGGAGGGGAGAGGAGCACGCGCTGGGAGGGGAGAGGAGCACGCGCTGAGAGGCGAGAGGAGCACGCGCGGGGAGGCGAGAGGAGGCGAGAAGGGGATATTGGGCGGCAGAAATGGGAGATCGGGCCGCGGGAACGGGAACTCGGGCGGGTTGCACGGGAGATCGGTCGGCGAGCAGGGGAGATGGGGTGGCGGGGAAGCGGAGGTCGGGTGGTGGGAAGATGACGGCTATTACCTAATCATAAGCATAGGCAAAGGGGAGCGCTACTGCTGCTCACCCCTGTTACGTGACATTCTTTGTCCTTTTGACGCCTTTGGATAGGAGCTAGGTTACTAATGGAGTGGTAATGCTTCTACTACGTGTAAGGAGGTAGGGCTGGAGTGCTAACCTTGGCGCTTGATTTTTCCCTATCACTTCACTCCCTTGCACAATCTGTGTTCCCGTCGTCAGTGTTGGTCGCACAAAGTGCAACTTCCCAAACCTGTCACGCAAGAGGTTCGGATGTGACCCAAACCTGCGCCTGAGCTCTTGTGTTGGCCTCAACACTTTGGAACTTCGCGCATGTATTTCCCCCGCTCGTCAAAAAACTCGTCACTCGTAAACCAATCAGGATCTTACTTTCCCAACCAAGTGTTAAACACTAGTAAATATGAGACGCGAGCTTTAATTTGATTTTCACGTTCCACTCTCTGCTTGGTTGTGTGGGCGTGCTCGAAGTGGGATCTTGACAGGCATCGATGGTTGTCGATGAATGTCGACTGATGTCGACGAATCCTGACGGTCGGAACGGTCGATCCGAGGGCTGAAAGTTCCTGACACCCAGAAGTTTTGTCGATGAGATGTCGGCCTTCACGTCGGACACGCCCTGACCGCCAAACGTAGGAGGCGAGTGGTTCTCTTTCTGTCTAGGCGATGGGGAATAACCTTCCTGCCTGGCGAGCACCCCAACCCAATCACCTGTTCCCGTTTCCCCAACCCCCAATATTCGCACATGTACGGTAGTAGCATACCATTGCAACAATGCGGAACCTTGAAATCGTGCAGGTCGATGTGGCTTCAACGAAGGATGTAGCAGAGATGTCCAGCCGTGGCAGATCCAAAAGGAGAAATCCAGCTTTTTGCGACGCGTGTCGTATCGAGTTCACAACCTGTCTATGTCTCAGCATGCTGGTGGCAGTTGGGCAAGTCAAGAGAGTCTGTCCGATTAGATACATGTCTGGAAATGAAAAAGCGAAGCGTCCAGATCTGCCTGCGCCTAGCCGCGGCGACCTTATCCTTTCAGATCTCTCCCCGTAGCGAGCTTCGTCCCCGCAGCGACCTTATCGTTTCAGCTCTCATCCCTAACCACTCAAAAGCGAGCTTGCTTCCCCCCCCAACCATCCCTCCGCCCCGCTCCAATGTTATGCATACCACAGCGTAGTAACCTCCAACCACCATGCGAAAGCACAAATACCTCCCCATCTCCCAACCACCCGAACCGACCCGACCTGCACCTTTTCACCACCACAAAAATCGGCTCCCATTCTCCCCTACCTCCCCATTTCTGCCGATTCCCCGCGACCTGGACAGGCGCAGCCGCTACAATTGAATCACGTGGTGCAGTTCGCCCTTCCCACCGACTCTACTGCACCGAGCAGAAGCTGCACGCGTTCAGAGGAAAAGAAGCAGACGAGATGGGATGGAGGGGGAGAGTAGACTCGAGCAAGCCGGGTTTCCTCCGTTTCTTAATTTGCCACGTGAAGAGACGGGCATTCAAAGTTTCCCGATTTCACTATCCATTCAAGAGCAGCCTTGGCTTTGCGAAGAGGATTCACGCAGTGCTTTATCATCTGTAGGGGACTTCACTGGCAGTAGACGTCCAAGACATCAACTCTTGCCAGGGGAGTGCCGAGGCTACCATCCCCTGCCTCCAAACCTTACGAGCTACCAGAGCTCGACCAAAGTTTGAGATTAAGATGGCCTTTCGGCAAAGAGACTCCGAACAGCTCAGTCTCATTCCAGGACTTACATACCCCCTCAGTCTCATTGCTAACAATTCCGTGAAACTACTCCTATCCCACCGTTCGCACCACCACTGCCGCCTTGACCCAACGCTTTGGGGAAGGCCAATTTGTTTCTTACTCCTCGTGTTCCTCCTCTCGCTACTATACGTTCCATCCGACGGTACGAGCACCGCCACACGCGTGATCAACGCTGCTTGCCATGATTTGTCGCTGGATATATGACTGTAACGCGCAATTCGCTGTATATCGAGAACATTGTTACTACCGTACGTATCCCCTCCAGGCAGGGCACAGGGGCGCATTCTGGTTGGTTGCAATCTAGACGGCGCACGCCGCGAGTCAGCGCCCTGGCGTGTTAGAATGCCTCACAGCTCCAATGCCTTCTCTCGCCCCCCCATCCCCTGCAGCTTCCCCCCCCGATGTCTCCGCGCTCTACATCGTCCGCCTGCGCTCCGCACCACCTGTCGCGTCGTACCGCGGCGGATTTCCCGGCTACCCAGCAACGGCCGTGTGGGACAGCGACCCTAACGGCAACGCGACAGATGCGACGGCAGACGACACCGCTGCCGCTGGTGCGGCTACGACTAACGCTCTAGGGGGAAGGCTTGGCCGTCCGCTGCGGCGGCCGTGGGTGAACGTGAGGGCGCCGGGCGTGAGGGCGTTCAAGCAGCTGCTGCAGCGCATGCAGCAGGCCGTGCTGAGAGACAGCGGGGTGGACGCGGGGAAGATGGTCTATAGGTAAGGGTAAGATGGTGCGTAGGTGAGGGGAAGAATGGTGCAGAGGTGAGGGGAAGATGGGGGGCGTTGTTCCGGACGAACGATTTGCAAACAAAAAGGCCAATGATGTTAACCGCTGCCCTTGCTGCCACTGCCTCTTCAGCGCATGCAGCGAGCTTTGAAGTCGGAGGGCTAGACTTGTAAAGCAGACGGTCATGCGGGACAGTGGTGGACGAGGCAGGTGAGCCCCAACCATGTCCACTCATACCACTCTTAAAAAGCCTGAGGTTTCCCATCATCATGTGGACGTGCAGTGCAGCAGTCCGTTCGTGTGATTGTAGATGCTGGGAAGAGCCGCAGTAGCAGCCTGTCTTCCACGCCCGCCATGTTCGATATTGTCGGTCTCCACTTCCCTTCCCCCTCCTCCCCCCCTTGCTTACCACTACTACCATCTCCCCACCGGTTCCTACCCCTCTCCCACTAACCCGCTCCCCTCTTCCCCTCTCCGCCACACCAGCTACATGCACGCGTCGAACGCCTTCTCCTTGACCCTCACGCCCCTCCTTCCCCCCTGTGCACCCTCCCCTTCGCGCCCTCCCCTTCGCGCCCTCCCCTTCGCGCCCTCCCCTTCGCGCCCCTCCCTCGTCTCCCCTTGCCCGCCCTTCCCATCGCAGCTACACGCACGTGTCGAACGGATTCTCTGCCAAGCTCACGCCAGCGCAGGTGCAGCGCATGAGGCGGCATCCATCCGTGGCGTCCGTGACGCAGGCGCGCGTGCTGCGCCCCGCCACCACCCACTCGTACAAGTTCCTCGGCCTTCCCTCCTCGCTCTGGGCCGCTGCGGGCGGGCCCAGCAGCGCAGGCGAGGGCACGGTGATTGGCATAGTGGACTCGGGCATATGGCCCGAAAGCCGTTCCTTTGACGACACGGTAAACTATGCATCGCCTTCACCCCAGTAGGGTCAGTATATGCCACTCCCCGTCTGTTTTTTTTTTTGCTGAGTCGAATCAAACGGCACGTCAAATCAAACGGCACCTTGTTCGACAACACGGTACGCTGCGCCACGCCTTTTGAGGCGCCTCAGAACTTGTCGCCGCCATCCGCGCTTCTCCAACTTCCCCCGCACCTGCCGCCCCTTCGTGCGGAAATCTTTGTATTCCCATCCCTTCTCCCCACCAGCATCGCCGCCCGCTTTTCCTCCCCCACACCCTTGCCCCCACCATCACCATGCTATCAGCGACTCATTCCCAACCCCTCCCTCCCCTCACCTCACCCCCTTCCCCCTTTTCCCCCGTTTCCCGTTATGCCGACTTCCCCGCTTCCACACCCCATCGTCTCCCCACGTGCTGGGAAGCAGGGCTACAGCAGCACGCTCCCTTCCGGGTGGGCAGACACGTCTCCCACCATCCCTCTAACCCACCACTACCCATCCTCCCTTCCAGCCCCTCCACCCGACCACCCCCCTCCACCCGTCCACCCCTCCACCCTTCCATCCCCCCTCCACCCCCCCTCCAGGGCTACAGCAGCACGCTCCCTTCGGGGTGGGTGGGAGACTGTTTCAGTACAGTTGACATGTCCTGCAACAAGAAGATCATCGGAGGGGGCTGGTTCTACGAGGGCTTTGCGAGTGGCGGCAACGCCCCCGACCTCACCGAGGACTGGCTCTCTCCGCGCGATAGTTCAGGGCATGGCACGATGTGCGCGGGGTGAGTGTGCGTGTGGTGCACGTGATGCATGGTGCGTGCAGCAATAAGATCATCGGATGAAGGGGCAGGGCAGCGAGTGGGGGGGCAACGAGTGGGGGGGCAACGAGTGGGGTGGCAACGAGTGGGGGGGCAACGAGTGGGGGGGCAACGAGTGGGGGGGCAACGAGTGGGGGGGCAACGAGTGGGGGGGCAACGAGTGGGGGGGCAACGAATGGGGGGGCTACAAGTGGGGGGGCAACGAGTGGGGGGGCAACGAGTGGGTGGGCAACGAGTGGGGGGACAACGAGTGGGGGGGCAACGAGTGGGGGGGCAACGAGTGGGGGGGCAACGAGTGGGGGGGCAACGAGTGGGGGGGCAACGAGTGGGGGGGCAAAGAGTGGTGGGGCAACGAGTGGGTGGGCAATTGGGGGGGGTTCCACTCGGGGTTTGAGAGCGGAGGCACCTCCCTCGACCTCTTAAGAGACTGGATCTCGCCACGCCGTGCTGCCGGACATGGCATGATGTGTGCGGGGTGAAAGAGTGGGGGGCACGTGGTGTGCTAGGTGATTGTTTGCGTGGTGCGTGGAGCATGGCACATGGCACATGGCACATGGCACATGGCACATGGCACATGGCACATGGCATACGGTGCTTGGTGAGCCTCGAAATACCACAAGGCACAAGGTATACGGAATATGATAAGGAGAGGGGGGGGGGGGCAACAGTTACACCACAGAGACACTCCCCCCATTGTCCTTTCACATGGGTCTCACATGGGTCTCACATGGGTCTCAAATGGGTGTCTCCGCCACTTTCTCTCCCTCTCCCCCCATTCCAGAGTGGCAGCGGGTAACAGCAATGTGCAGCCCAACATCGGAGAAGACACAGACAGGGCGAGCGGCATGGCACCAGGAGCACGCCTCGCCATCTACAAGGTGCTCTGGCAGTCGGGGGGTGGCAACATTTATGCCACCAGCCCAGACATCTTCGCAGCCATTGATCAGGCTGTCGCCGACGGTGTGGATGTGCTGAGCCTCGCGATGGAACAAGCCAATTCAGATGATACGTACTTTGACGACTTGCCATTCATCAGTGTCAATGCGGTGAGTGGCTGTGGCTGTGGCAATGAGTGCTTGTGGCAATGAGTGCTAGTGGCAGTGAGTGCTTGTGGCAGTTAGAGCTTGTTGTACCTATATGTATCCCCTCATCCTTGCACTATCGTTGACGCGCCTAAAAGGCCACTCCCACCGATACCTACTGTGATGACTTGCCGTTCATCAGTGTCAACGCGGTGAGTGGCAATGCAGTGAGTGCGTGCTTGTACATGTATGGACCCCTCGAATCCAGTGGCTAATCCACGGGTACATGTTTTTCGGCCATCACGGAGGGCCATGTTTTTCGGCCTGCGATTCTTCTCTGTTCTCAATTTCTCTTCTTTCCTTTCCTTATTCCCCATCAGGCTGGGGTGTTTGTGGCACTTGCAGCGGGCAACAAGGGCCATCCACACAGCACTGCACCCACGGGCTATCGCACGCTCTGCAACTTCTCTCCCTTCTACCTAACCGTGGGCGCCATGTGAGGAGGGGAGCAGTTGTGACCGGGGGCAAAGAAGGTGAGGGATGGGTTGAGACGAGGTGAGGCAAGGGGAAAGGTCCTTGGCAGCCACGGGCAACAAGGGCCACCCACACAGCACTGCACCCACGGGCTATCGCATTCCCTGCAGCTTCTCTCCCTAATACATGACTGTGAGGGCCGGGTCATTATGGGGGAAGGACATAAAAGGAGTGGGGGGGGGACAGGGGCGAGGGATGGGTGACAAACATTGATGGTAGAAAAGGCTAGCAGAATATGACATGTGAACCCAGGGGCCAAATAAGAGGAAAAGGGGGGCATGATGGTCTGCTCTCTCCACCCCATACCCTCACCTTTGTTCATCCTTCCCCTGACATTCACCCTCTGCGGCTCCTCTCATTCTTCTCCTTCTCTTGGCATTCCTCTGCTGCTCTTCTCATCCCTCCTTTGCTCTTTTTCATTCCTTCATTACACCCTTCCCCATGCCCATTCCTTCCACCCTTCTCCTTTGTGATATCTCAAAAGTCGTTCCCTGTGCCGCCTCGCCTCCCACCCCTCCCCGCCATCCTCCCACACCCTGCAGCACCATCTCTCGCAACGGTGCATCCATCTCCTCCACTACACCAACACCAGCAGCAGCAGAACTACCAGCTCCTACAGTACTCGATTTCTCTTCCGCAGGTCCACTCGCCAGGCCCTCAGGTCCCATTCCTACAGCCGCCCACCCCTCCAACGCCATCCTCAAGCCCGACATCATCGCCCCGGGGGATTCTATCGTTGCTGCCGTTTCCACCAACGTTGTCGGCGATGCGGGGGGGTTTTGGTGGAGCTCAGGGACGTCCCAGGCCACAGCTCATGTCACTGGCATTGCTGCTCTCATCATCCAGCAACATCCTGATTGGACCCCGGCGCAAATCATGTCGGCCATGACGACTACAGCGCGGACTACGGATACCAGAAAAAAGGCGATTAAAACATATTACTGGGGTGCTGCGACGCCCTGGGAGATGGGAGCAGGGCATGTGGTGCCTGCTAGGGTGGTTAACCCCGGGTTAACCTATGATGCCGGGGAGCAGGACTTCATAAACTTTCTTGCCGGGCAGGACTATAACCGTGCGAGGGATGAATTTGGCACAGATGTCAAAGCTCTTTCTGCGAGGAATCTGAACCGGCCAGCCATCTCGCTGCCCAAAGTGCGCAACAAGGCCAAAGTTAGGCGCACAGTAACGAATGTCGCGGATACAACGTCGACGTATAAGGTGAGGATCAAGAAACCTGCTGGAGTGGACGTGAGGGTGTCGCCATCACGCTTCACAATCGCCCCTGGACAGCGAAAGACTTTCAAGGTAACTGTGGTGGTGAGGTGGGCTTCGCAGTCTTTCAAATTCGGCAGCATCACGTGGGTGGATGGCCACGGGCACTCTGTACGGTCCGTGTTGGCCGTCCAGCCGTTTAGTGTGTGGTAATTTGGTAATGTGCAGTCGTCTAAGATAATAGAATGTGGAGCCTTATGGTCAGGGCCTATGATTCACTTTTAGGCACGTTAATGCATCAGGGTCCCTCTGTAGAATCCCTGATCGTCAGTGTCCCAAAAAAAAAAAGCCTGACAATTCAGTGTTACCTTCCAAAAAAGTCTGATGCATTAGTGTTCCCTTTTTGTAAAGGCTGGTATTGAACTTTAAATAAGATAACACTAGGCAGGAACGCGATGAAACCCCAAGCGGATGGAAGGAAAGCATGGAGCAGAATGGGATGGGATGGGAGCCTGGATGGCAGGTAGCACGGCTGGGCGGCGTGGATGCATCAGTGCTTGCTAGCACGACCTAGGCAAAACGGGCCACGGGACCACAGGTGCAAGCAATGGGCCAGAAACCCTCGCATCACAGCCTGCCAGCATCGCTCTGTTGCAACCTTGTCATTGGTCAACCCACATGATGCTGCAAAAGTGGCCAATGATCGGACCAAGCGCGGCGCGCACAAAGCAGCCCTCAAAGTGAATCACACGGGGCAAATTTGTCTGGTAGTCACCGCCAGGCGGTGCTGACACCGCGGGAATCTGAGATTCCTTGTACTTCCGGGCAACTACACTCGGAACGTGTATGAATCGCATTCAGTGTCAGTTTCGTTACAACGTAGTGTAATGAGTGTCCCTTACAAAAAAAAAAAAAAAAAAAAAAAAAAAAAAAAAAAAACCTGAAAGTTCAGAGTAATCTGGCCCCTAAAGGCTGAAAAATCAGTTCCCCAAAAAGCTGAACACTGGAAAATCAGGGTAGGTACAAAAAAATCCCTGAAAATCAGGAATTTCAGGGGGAAATTCCTGATATCGTAGTGCCTGCTTGTGGTGTACCACGTGCTACACTAGGGAAGCATCACATTGCCTATTCTGTTTATTGAGGCACTTCAAGTATCTGGAGCTCCGTTGTGTGTACACTAGCAAATGTCAGACCGGTACTCGTGTAACTATTTTGCACGGGCAAACAGGTCCTCAGATATCAGCGTATAACACGCTAATTAGGCTGATTTTGTGGCTGTGATTTTCATTTTCCCTGAGAATTCAGCAATTTTTGCACTGAAATTTCAGTACAACCTACCTTGCCACACCAACCATTTTGCGGTAAGTTGTACAAGTAAACGTTGACGAATCAGTACAGTGACGTGAGTCACACTGAAACAGACTTGACCGCGGGAAGGGGGGGGGGAGGATAGGGTACGCGTGTACCTTCCCGTGATTCACGAAGCCTCACCCACACACTTGGATTTTTTTCCCATGCATGAGCTGTATAGACAGGTGGTGCGTGCCGAACCGTTTTGACTTGCTGGAAACTATCACAGCGACAGAGCTCTAACATTGTTCACAACTGCCCAATCACAAAACAGACAACACACCACTGGAGGCAGGGTCCACACCAACACGCGGCAAAGGATGGAAGTGGGGTGAAGGTCTTGTCATCTTGCTAGGAAAGACGACCAGGGTGGACGAAGATGCCTCTCCATGGCGGCTCGGGAGACGGGGTAACCCCATCTGGCCCCTCATTCTGTTCCTTCACTCGTCGTGAACCCCTGCAGGAAGTGACATTCGAGCTCAAGCGTTCTTGGCACGCAGCATTACCACCCCTCTCAAGCTCGGCACGCTCGGCAGAGCTGAGCGGCCATGGCGGACCCGTCGCCCGCAGGCGATGATGATCACCAGCCCCAAGGGCCTTGGTGAAGACATCAGCAGTGTTGGCCCGAGAGGCCACGAAAGCAAGGCGCAGCTGACCACGCTGGCGCAGCTGACCACGCTGCTGCAGCTCGCGCAAGGTAGTAGCGCAGAGCAATGTGCTTCGTTCTGTGCTCCAGTCTCTGCTCGCGATACAAGGCAAGCATTGCCTTGTTGTCGACGTACAGAACTAGAGGAGAACAAGGCCGCTCCCCCAAGTCGGTCAGCAGGTAAGTCAGCCAGCGGAGCTCCTGTGCAGCCATGGCCCCAGCGTAGATCTCGGCCTCACAGCTGGAACCAAGCACAGAAGAAGAACGAGTGGACCTCCACGAGACAGAACCAGAGCCAAGACTGAAGGTGTAACCCTGTGATGAACGCTGAGTCGCCTGGTCGTCGGCCCAAGAAGCGCCAGAGTGTCCTGTGAGGACCAACGAACCCCGTCCTCCAAGCACGAGCCCCATGCCTGATGTGCTGCACAAGTAACGCAGTACCCTCTTCGCAGCATCAAAGTGCACCTTTCGGTGTCTACCGGGTGCCACGTAGTGAGCCAGAAGGCTGAGAGGGTACACGAGGTCAGGTCGTGTGCATGTCATCAGGTACATGAGGCAGCCCACAAGCTCTGGGTACGGACCACTCGGCTCTACGGACTTGTCCAAAGGTGGAGCTGAGAGCAAGTGGCCGGTAGCCAGAGGAGTGGGCTGTGGCGAGGAGTACGTGAAGCGGAAGCGCTGAAGGACCTGGTGCACCATGTGTGACTAAGTCAGGGTGATGGTGCGCCGTGCTCTGTCCCGGGTGATCTGCAAGCCAAGATAGCTCCGCAGCTCACCCAGGTCAGTGCAGGTGTTTCTCTCCTGCAGCTCCGCCGTCACTAGGGCCAGTTCCTCAGTGTTAGCAGTAGCAAAAACCAAGTCGTTAACGTACACGAGGATGTAGAACGGCGGCAGAGAAGTTTCGGTGCGTAGAAACAGCGACGGGTCAGCAGTCGAAGGAGCAAACCCAAGAGCCACAAGTGTCGACCTCAGTGTGTCGTGCCACTCGCGGGGCGCTTGACGCAGGCCATACACTGGTCGCAGTAGGCTCCACTGGGTACCTCCAGGAAACGACCCAGTGAAGCCCTGTGGATGGCGCAACCAGATGGTCTCGTGAAGGCTACCCTGTAAGAAAGTTGTCGAGAAGTCGAGGGAGTTCAGCTCGTAGACACGCTGAGCTGCAACATGTAGTAACACCCGAAGAGTGGTCATCTTCGGGGTGGGGGAGAAGGTCTGAAAGAAGTCGACCCCCTCACGCTGACTGAAGCCTCGAGCAACGTAACGTGCCTTGAAGGCAGGCGGAGAACCCGGCGGCCGCTTCACCCTGAAAATCCACATGCCACTGATGATGTTCGCCCCCAGGTGGGGGAACCTCGTCGACGTAGGTGCCTGTGGACTTCCAGGAAGCCATCTCTGCGTCCATGGCTGTCTGCCACTGAGAGGAGTACTCACCCAAAATTGCCTCCCTATAGGAGCGCAGGGTGGGGATGTCAAGTGCATCCGGGTCTCCCTCAGGGGCAGGCAGCATGGTCGCGTGATGGGGTGAAGCGGTAGCAAGGCACTCCAGCTCCTCCTGTCTGTCCTCAAGAACGTCACAGCCAAGGGCAGTATAGCCAAGAGCATTCTCACCCCCGACGGACGGAGGACAGGCAGGGACAGGGTCAGAGACAAGACTCGCAAGGTAGTCTAGGCGGTACACAGCAGCAAAGTCAACGAGCTCAGCTACTAGGGCAGACGCAGCAGGAGACGAGAACATAGGGTCCGTCACAACCGTAGCAAGAAGGCGAGTAACAGTCGGACTGGACGCACGAGCAAGGTCAAACGGAGGGTCAGCAACGTCAGGCAAAGAGGACGCAGGAGGTAACGGTAGGACAACACGCTGAGGAACAGAGGAAGGACGGAGTGTCATATCGTGAGTGCCGGGGACAGCCGGAGCACGTGGACGATGAACACGAGGAACACGAGCACGGACAGCAGCTCTAGGCTCAGGCTCAAGGTCAAAGCTAGACTCAGGCTCTCGATGCTCAGGGGTGGAAGCACGAGTCTCAGGCTCTCGACGCTCAGTCATAGACTCTGACACCACAGTGTAAGGAGCAGGAGCAGGCAATGGGGAGTGTGGTAGCAGTGGCGGCTGTGACTGGTCCGCCGGTGGACACAGCAACGGAAGAGTACTACCTACCACAGGGAAGCCAGTAGCACCTAGCTGAAGACTGAGAAGGTGGCGAAGGGCACCAGTAGCTCCACCAGGACCTCCAGCACCTCCAGCCATAGCAGCTCCAGCACCTCTAGCACCTCCAGCACCAAAAGCACCAGCAGCTCTAGTACCCCTAGCACCTCCAGCACCAGCAGCACCTCGAGCACCTCCAGCACCAGCAGCTCCACGGCCTCCAACACCAGCAGCACCTCCAGGACCTCTAGCACAAGCAGCTCCAGTAACTCCAGCACCTCCAGCACCAGCAGCACCAGCAGCTCCAGTACCCCTAGCAACTCCAGCACCTCCAGCACCAGCAGCTCCACGACCTCCAACACCAGTAGCACCTCCAGTACCTCCAGCACCAGTAGCTCCTGGTCCTCCGGTAGGAGCTCCGACGACACCAACACCAGAAGGACTCGCAGCACCCCCAGAGTCAGCACCCGAACTTGCAGCACCCCCAGAGTCAAACCTCTCGGTCTCAGCACTCTCAGGCTCAGTACCCTCAGTCCCAGCACTCTCAGGCTCAGTACCCTCAGTCTCAGCACCCCCAGGCTCAGTACCCTCAGTCTCTGCTCCAGTGTCCACAGCAGCAGGCTGCAGAGGCGGCGAAGACGGCAGAGGTGGGAACCCGAGGGGGGTAGCCAGACGAGGAGAGCGGGCACCCCCAGACTCACCACCCCCAGCCCCAGCTCCAGTAGTCTCAGCTCCAGAGTCCACAGCAGCAGGCTGCGGAGGCGGCGAAGACGGCCGTGGCGGGAAACCCGAGGGGGTCTCCAAGCGAGGAGTGCAGCGAGTGGTTGCCGTGTCGTCGGCGACGGCGTCACCCCCCTTATGTGAGTCAGAGGAGTCAGAAGAGATCTCAACTAGCTCATCCACGGGGGGTGGGTCTACCTGAGACACACCTGAGGGAGCAGGACCTTGTGGGGGAAGGGGTCTATCCGGGGGGGGGGACTGGTACCAGGAAGAGAGGTGCGAGGGGGACCGGGTGAGACGCGTGCGGGTGAAGTCAGTAGTAACAGACCGACTCGTCGAAGGTGACGTCCT